CCGTGGTACACTGTCTCACACTGATACCGTCCTTCATCTCGTTTTGTAAAGCGAGGAATGTACAGGTATGTTTCTCCGTTTGTGTTGTTGCGCAGGATCTTTCCATCGTTACATGTATCATGTTTAGAATCGTTATCACTATGCGCCATTCGACACCGCTTTCCGTCAATGTCTATCGTCCAGGTAATGAAGAGAATCGAAGCCCATGTCTTATTGGAGCAGTTCAGAGTAACGCTGCTATTCAAGTCAAAGTACTCACTTCTGTATTCTGTAAATGCTGGGTCATAACAGAAAAAGTAGCAAAGGACACATACATAAGATCATGTTATTTTGGTAATTATACTGGCTTTAATACAATTTAATATACACTACCATTCAGAAGCTTGGGGTCACTTGGAAATTGTCCATGGAATAGGCGTCATTTCTCAGAACAAGAACAGACTGATGAGTTTCAGTAGAACATCTTTTGTTTCTGGCCATTTTGCACCTTTATTTGAACCCACAATTGCTGATGCTCCAGATAAACAACTAATCTAAAGAAGCCCAGTTTTATTGCTTCTTTAACTAGCTTAACAGTTTTCAGCATAATTTCAGAAGGGATTTCTAATGATAAATGATAAACTTGGATTAGCAAACACAACATGCCACCGGAACACAAGAGTGATTTTTGCGGATTATGGACCTCTGTACGCCAATGTAGATATTACATTAAAAATCTGTTGTTTCCAGCTACAGTAGTCATTTACAACATAAAAAATATCTAACAATTTCTAATTAACTTGATGTTATTTTAATGGACAAAAAAAAACACTTTTCTTTCGGAAACAAGGAAATTTCTAAGAGACGCCAAACTTTTGAACGGGAATGTAAATAATGAATAAATAGATAATATGTCGAGCAAATACATGTCTATGGTGGTATTCCTGCATGTATGTATATATTATATATTCCATTCTGGATGTGGCTGTATACATACATTTTGGAACTACACTTCCCCTTTCCTTTTGATTACAGCGGTGTCACGTGGAAACATCCATAAGTATGAATGGAACTTGAGTATATGGTAGCCGCATACTTCAAACAGAGCCTCTATTCTAGATTAATGGGTTTTGTTTCTAACATTGTCACTTAGGATGCACAACAGACATTAATGTTAGTATAGAAAATATTAGTTACCATCTTGTGTCGTGGAAACTGGATTTTGTTGGTAAGTTTGTTCGCTAGTACAATGCAAGGCTTTCTGGTTTTCACCTAAGAGAATTAAATATTTTGTTAGTTGTAAGAATTTTAAAAATAGTAAAACAATTTAGCGTGTTTTATGACGTGATACATCTGTGTCTATATTAGCTACATTAATTTGCTTCATTGCTGCGGGTGCTTTTGCTGCCGACATTCTGTTTCTCTCAGATGTTGAAAATATGAAAAAAATTACAAGCCCATTTTCAAATAACTGTTTCACAACCAGACACATGAAATTCACACACTGGAATGCAAATAATTTTGAAAAGGCTCTTTTGATTTACCGCTAAAATGACAAGTACGATAAAAACAAACAAACCTTTTGTCAGGTGACCATAGGTGACAGGTATAATCAGAATGGAAATAAACGTCCACATTTTTGGGTTCCAGGTTTCTCATGAATGTCTTAGTACTCTGTTGCTCTCTGTCCAACAGCTTGCAGCATTTAGTTTTGTCACCCTCAAAGTTCAAAGGGCTGGGGCTGGTTTCCTGTAGCATGAGAGCTGCTTTACCACGATGAGTATATTTTTCATCAGCGTTGGAAAATTTTTCTGGGCCTTTGCATAACCATATTCAGATTTAACATGCTTGTTTCCACCAGAGCCATAGCAGTAGGTTAAGTGAACATCATCAAGAAATTGTTACTCACACCACATGCAGCAGTGAAACTAAGATTCCTCACTGGAATGCACAACTAATGTATGCAGGACTCAGGAGTACTCTACTTACTGTAGGATTGAAGTACACTTTTACCTGGGATACTAAAATGCTTGTAGTTTTGGTGTCACATTAGGATACATTTTAAATTTCACAAGCCATATATTGTACCTATATACAACTTGAAAAAAATTAAGAGACCACAGTAAAATTTTCAGTTTCATTCATTTCTCTATTTATGGGTATTCTTCAGTGTAAAATATCTTTTTTCTATTTGTAAACTCCAACCTGGCTCGTCTATGTTTCTCATTAATGAAGGGCTTCTTCCTTGCTTTATGGAACTTCAGTCCTGCTTCTATAGGAGCCTGTTACAAACTTGTCCTAGCAGTGCACTTCACACCAATTAATGTTTCCCATTCTTTTTGAAGGTCACTTGATGTCATCCTCCAATTCATGAGGCACAATTGGATAAGTTGTCATCTCTGGCATAAGAAAGTCACTTCTGTCTTCTACCTGGCTGGTTTCTGGGTGATCCCAGTGTCTCCTGCTTCACATTGTTCCTGTGTACTGCTGTCTTAGAAACTTTGAGCCTGAAAGCAACCTGCCTCTCAGTGCAGCCTTCAACCAGCACAACCAGGATTAAACCAAGATGTTACAATGCAAATGCTTAAAAAATATGGAGTGATCTCTTAATTTTTTCCGGAAAATCATTATTGGGTTTTAAAATGAGCAAAAATAAAGGTTTTTCAATATCAATATTGTTACAATAGCAGTGGTCTAATGGTTAGGGAAGTGTGTTTGTGATTGGAAGGCTGCTGGTTTGAATCCCTGACCACCAAGGTACTGCTCCCTGTGCATTAAGTGATAGCTGCTTGCTGCTACTGTATGTCACACATGGGTTAATGCAGCGGATGCATTTTGCTGTAGTATGTCAACAATGCGTGACTTTCTCTTTTAACTTTCAGTTATGACAGCAGAGTTAGAGTTTTGTATCATCTGAACAGCACCAATCCCGCAACTATCACTGTATATAAGCTCACTAGGATTACAATGTAATATGATAAAAACTAGATGACTGACAGAAACAATGCAAACACAAAATTACAGCACAAGTTAAACAAGCTGCCAGGAGGTACATTATAGTTATAACAACTCAAAATAACAAGCCTCCATGCCCTTTGCCTGTCTCATCATCTCCCATACAGTGTTCCGTGTTTTTAGGGCTGCAGTTCAGCAAAACTGACTTCAATGACTAATAGTGCAGATGTTACCTGCTGTTTCCTACTTTCCTTTGTGTAACATACCATCCTATAACTCTGACTGAATAGCATCGAGACCTAATGTGGGATGTTCATTAAGAAACCACTACAGAGAAAAGAGAGGTTAACCTCACAGCCAATGAAAGTTATCTGGTGTTCCTCTTTAGCCAGTCTAACCACATAGGGAAAAATTGCAGGTATGTTTGTCAGTTTTGGTCGATGTCTTACTGACCATTTCCAAAAAGGAGCACCTGAGTCCAATGAACAGACACATGGCAGAGGTACATAATGTCCCTGGCTATTAGGACTGTATCCCTGAGAGATGCACTTGTCTTTTCCAAACCTAATATTTACCTCAGACAGGGGGCTGGGGGCGGAGTCATGTGGAGTCCATTGGCCCCAAGATCTCAGGCCGTGAAACTGGGCACATCATAATCATGCTGGAGTGTCTCGCTATGAAAGGTGCTCCCCTCACCCTCTGTTATTACCCCCCCTTCATTTCCAGGTTGTCCACAATAAAGGGACCTTGTCCACGCTCCCCTCCTCTCCTGGAGAGATGTCTCAGTGCCATGCTACAGCTGTCTTTTGTTCCCATTTTTTTCCCTGCTACTTTTATTACATCAGTTTCCTCTCTCACCCTGAAGTCCCTGGATCTTCCTCATGCAGTACAGACCCCACTCCACTGCAATACATGAAGCAACTTGCTAAAACCCTTCAATCAATTAATCAATCAATCAATCAAACAATTCAATCAATCAATCTTTGTTTATGTAATACTGTGTTAACCACGGGGTTTACAAAGTGCTTTGCAGACATTTAAAAGAAAGGAATTAAAATAAGCACACAGGAAATAACAATAAGCACAGAATAAACCCCCCCCCCAAAAAAAAAAACCAAATTAACCAAACGTGAACATGAGCCAAACTAAATTAGAACATTCTTTTTTTTTTTTTTTTTTTTTTTTCTTTTTTTTTTTTAATGTGTCCTGTCCGGCAGATTAGAACATTCTAACCTAGTACTTCCCTCACACCATGAGTCGCATGCTTTTCGGTCATAACATGTAGCCTAAATAGGAGAATGTGCGGAAAGTATGTACAGATTTTATAAAAGTGGATTAAAAGCTTGGCTGTCCAGCAGGTCACGACTTCACTTAGAATCAGAATCTCACAGCTGTGCCTGAATTCCAGACTCCAAGATGGAGGAATGCAGGAGCTCACTGCAGAGCTCAGACAAACAGCCTCCAGCCTATCAAAGGATGAACCTTCTGAAAGCTCTTTCTGCACGTGACCAAGCGAATAAGAGGCAGTGTGGCTCTCCCGCTTCACACCAGATCCTACTGACATTTTACACTATTGGAAAACTGGAAATACAGTGAAATACACAAAACTGATATGTGTACTACAAAATGTTCCATGTAGAGCTCTGTCAAAACAGTTGAAATAGAACGTTACCATTGTGTAACTGGAACACCTCCCACACGTAAACACAGTGTCGATGTGCTGCAATGTTATTGTTTGATGCTAAAATGCCGAATGAAAGTTTCTTTCTCAAATTTCACTTTACCAACCATAGTGTATACAGGCAGAAATAAACAGCAACAAACATTTAGCATTAGACTGTAAAATCTGTCTGTGTTTATCCAGTAGATCATAAACTAGGCAATGCTGTTCTATTTTAATTTCTACATATATAAAGTTTTATACTCCACTCCACCAACATACTTACCTCCTTCTTGCAAACTTGAATCTTGCACTTCCAAGGCCAATCACAGTGGTGTCCTCTGAATACTTCATGATGTGATTGGAGGTGATCTTGGTGAAGCATTTGGATGTCAGGAGTGTAGATAGTGGGGAACTGAGGCAGCAGCCTTGGGGAGTTTCTGTCTGATAGGAGCAAAGTGACATCCCCTCTTCTGACAAACTCTGGTCTTTCTGTCAGAAAGTCCAGCATGCAGTTGCATAGTGACATTTTCAGACCAAGCTGGGGTGATTTATCTACTAGGGGAGAAAGTATTACTTTGTTGAATGTTGAGCTGAGCTCAACAAATTGCGTTCTTACATAAGAGTCTTTATTGTCCAGCTGTGTCACGGTGGTGTGTAGGGGCAAGGTTATGGTGTCCTCCGTGGATCGGCTTGAATGGTATGCAAACTGATATGGATCAAAGAAGGTTGAGAGGTTTGCTTTAATGTGTCCCATGACCAGCTCTTCAAAACTCTTGATTATGACAGAGGTGAGAGACACTGGTCATTTAGCACTGAAGCGGATGTTCTCATAGGCAAACGTGTGTAACGTTAGCCTTGCAGCTGTGCTGTCAGAACTAGGCAGAGAATCTGCTCTGCTGGCCAGCCAGCTGGAAGCATGACAACCTTTGGTCAGGGATGAACTTTATTATTTGACATTTTATTAACTGTTTTCTCACATTCTTTTGTTGCTAATGGGGCATCTTTTTTTTTCATTGTTTATATTTGGGTCAGCAGCAAGTAAGACTTGGCATGATGAGTAATTCAAAAGTCTTTCAAAAACTTGTTTTAAAAGCATGCATCAGATTTGTTAAAATGTACATTTCGTATTTATGGTTGTTTCATGTAATTTGAAATGAATTCACACCATTATTTACAGAAGGTAAGATATCATTGGAAAATACATCATCAGTGCAGGACATGGTTGTTGTTTTGATGACAGCACACCAACACTCAAAAAATGGAGAGGAGCTCTGATGTACATGGTTAGAGTGCAAGTGAAAGCAGACACCTAATTTCCATTGGGGCAGAAGATTCAGTCCAAAGTAAACTAGACGTCTCCTATCATGACCGGTCGTATTGTTTTCTTAGCTAGCCTGCTTTTAACAAATCTGGCAGAGACTTACATAATATCTGTAATTCCTAGCAGAAGTGACATAGGCCGTTATCAGAGTTGGGTAATTCAGGTCCAGAGAGTAAAAGTCCAGACCAAGATTTTGTTTCAACCAACCAGTTGAGCATAAAGAGTCACAATCACAGGGTTTCTCAACTGGTTGTTTGAAACAAAATCCCGGCCTGGACTTTTACTCTCTGGACCTGAATTACCCAACTATGGCAGTAATGACACACAAGTGGTCAGGTGGACACATTGAGGATGTATGATAGACACAGGTATAAATGGCCATGTGTCTCAGCTGTCTACTTCTGATCCAATCCCCAAAAATTTCTGCATAATGTGATAAAAATCCTTTTATTTTGACATTGTGGAGATCGCCTTTTAGCTCTCCACAAGGGTAAACTCAATTTTATAAAAATCTGTAACTGTTTTGTTACTTATGGTTAAGATTAGGACAGGGTACTACTCTAGAAGAACGTTATATGGATGAAGATCTACAACTGGTTTAATTTTTAAACAAATTGCACCAAAAATAAAGCAGCAACACTATGCAGCAGACACAGTGCAGGCACATTGTATGAGTGAAGACATGGAAATGATCAAATTTTGAGTCAAATTGCACTAAGATTAAAGCAGCACTACAAAGTGATTTCAAAGAGAAGGACAACCTCAGACACTTGGTAGCGTCAGCATGATAACTCAGAATTATTTGTTGGGTCTTTTTCAGAATTTGCAGACACATTGTATGGATCATGA